ATGTCAGAGTAGAGCCGTTCATGCTGTAGGATAGGGAAATATACCCATTCTGCAAAAGCCAAGTGATAGTTGGATAATATCATATGAAGGTGGTTCTAATTTTATTTGGCTTTGAAACTTGCAGGAAGAGACTTTTTCAGATGATAAATGATCTCCCCACCATATTTGAAGTTGTGACAGGAAATGCTAAACAACCAAAAGACCAATCTACTCCTCACAACAGTAGCAAGAACAAATCCAGTGGAAAGGGGGTAAGATGTGGACTAGTTTTCATGATATGATTTTTTTTGTTTTGTTTTGTTTTGTTTATATGTCTTCCTTCTATAGCCATTGTTTTCCCTTTATAATTAATCCTAGCTCTTTCTTTGTTGGTGCTGCCTTTAAACAGTCTCGGCAGTCTGAGCCCCCCCAGAGCAAAGGAGTAAAAATGTCTCCGCTGCCTAAAGAAGAGGATGAAAGCGGGGAAGAAGAAGAAGAAGATGATGAACAAGGCGCAACTTGCGGGGCTTGCGGAGACAACTATGGGGCTGATGAGTTCTGGATTTGCTGTGATGTGTGCGAGAGATGGTTCCATGGAAAATGTGTAAAGATTACACCCGCGAAGGCTGAGCATATCAAGCAGTACAAGTGCCCAAGTTGCAGTAGCAAGAGGGCTAGAGTTTAAATCTAGGTTCTGAACGTGGAGAAGAAAACCAATCAAAGAAAGCAGATGAGGGTTTACAACTATCATTACAATTTGGAGTAAAACAGAGTCAGTTGTCTATCATAGTTGATGAATTTGAATGAGTGCAAATGGGATTCTTCTAAGTTTTGCTACTCTTTGCTATTGTTCTGTCTAATTTTCTCAGGAATTTGTTTCTAATATGAATAGTCAGCTATAAATATGTTCGTGCGGTCACCTGGTTTGAGTTTTGATGCATTTATTTGACGTCTATATGCTTTGTTGTCCATGCTGTTTTCTAATCTTCTTGGCGGCTAGCGTTACATTTTAGTAGTATTGGTACAATAACGTGTTTTACAAGAAAGCACAGATGTTGAGCGAGTTCTTTGTGCAGTCGTGGACTAACCGTGCATGCTGCCTCTCTGGTAAGTTTCTCCAAGAGATCTAGTTGTGCTTGTGCTGGAGGATTTGGCTTGGTTACTGAGGCACCAAAGTTGGGGGAAAAAGTGGATCATGTTTACTTGGAATTGCTTTGCTCCAACGTTAGGGAGGGGACTTGGGATGAGGAGTACCATCTCCGAGTATAGCTCTTTGATTACATTTGTATCATGTTTATTAGGATTAAACTTCTCTGTCTTTTCACAATTCACAATTGATGAACTCCGACTCTCTCTCAAGAATGCAATGAAAATTGCAAATTGAATCAAACAGGTCGCACACATGTTGTGCAATTGCAAATTGCGATTATTTATATGCCTAAAACCATCATTTCGTGTACACATCATTACCTGATGATCACCATATTACCACGTACGGCAATCAATCATTTCGTGTCTCCGTTACGCAATTGGTAAATGAAATCCGCACACATTGTTTTCTCTCTCTCATTTTTGCACATTTTGTGCATTAATTATCATTTTATTCATCCAATTTCAAGTTAAAAAAATAAATAAGGGTGTACGAGCAAAAAAACATCGCTTTTATTGAAATTATAGGGGCGGCTTCTATTTGTACATTAATATTGGAATTTTTGTTTATACAAGAGACAATCTACACCAAACAAATCTAGATTGCAAGGATGACATTTCAACTTGAGTGCAAAGCAAAGAGCACGTTGCCCTTGCGAACTTAACCAAGTTCGTTGATTTTTTTATTTTGACAAACTATAGTATAGTCTATATTAAATTTATTCAAACTAGGACAGTAGTAGAATTCAAACTTGGGTGCAGAGAAAGAAACTAGAATGTACTCAGTACTTTTGACTAAATTAAAGAAGATCAAACGACATAAATTAACAAGGGATATGTGGATATCACGTATCATATTTAGCCTCTTACACACTTATTAATCTTGGATGTTGATTATGTTTGACATATTCAATTCGATAGCTTGAAAGATTTTACACTAAAATTTTGTGTGAAAATCATTTATCTTAATTAAAGAATTATTTGTGGCTATTATGTTACATAGTGTGTGCCTCACGATTTACCCGTCAGCGGTCACGATTAAATGATGAAAAAGTTGATTCCTGACAGCAGGATCTAAGGTCAACGGCCAGGATCTAAAGGCTTGGTAAAGGTCAGGAAAAAGCGATAAGAAAAAGATTGACCGTCCCTATGTCTAGACAAACAGAGACTCTAGTTGCAACCCGCATTTTACAACACCAAAGCGGCATGGCGATGGCGTCAATGTCTTTGACGATGAACACCACCACGACGATGACGAAAGTATCTGGATTCCAGCCCCTTCGGCTTCCCAAAGTAAGAAGCTTCCAATTTAACTTCGCTCGGCAATGTTCAACCGTTCAAGTGAGTGAGACATATCATGGTCAAGGTTGTGTGCGCCAATTTTAATGGTTTATTGATTTTCTGCAGCAGCGGCATTTTTCTGTTTCGAATCCTGTCAGAAGATACTGCGGTTCCCTTCTTCCATCATGCCAATACGCTTCACAGAATCCCAATCTTACGGATGAGAAGTATACTGCTTATGCTTATCTCTGCAAACTGCAAACTTTTTCTGTTTTTTTTTTCCCTTCTCCTTTTACGTATCTACATCGTATAGCTTATTACAATTTACATGCTAATTGAAATTTTCTTGTGTTAAACCCTTTTTCGAATAATATTTCAATCTTTTTGAGTTGATTATCGTGTTGCAGTCCTAATAACTCTGGCCATGCTCGTTTATCCAGCCCGATATATGCAGCTGCTGGTTCAGGTTCTGTTTCTTCATGTTTTCTTGTGTTTGTAATTAATTTGAGAGAGTTATTCATTGTTTTCGTTTTGCAGGTTTAGAGGCATCAATTGGAGATGCACAAGGCAATCTGATAACCTTGAAAACAGCAAAGATTGTTGTAGAGTCCCAAGACGACAATAAGATACAGGTGACTTTGCCGTGCAACATCCAATTGATACAGAATTACAGCATGCATGCATTTTGTCACTGTAACAAGTGACATATTTTTTTCTTCTGATTAATTGTAATACCTTATGCATGCATGCGAAGGAAGGATACAATGAGGTAGGTTTATGTTGGTTTAGGAAAACACAAGTAACATTCAAGGTAACCGGGAAATTTGATTCTAGAACAATTTGTAGAAAATCTTTTACGTTGGATGCGCATTGAAACTAAGGTGGTCCCAAGGTCACCCGGAGTCCAGGAAATGTACATGTGAAGGTCTTTCAAGGACTCTTCGAATGTTCGGTATTGGTCTTTTTTGTGCCCACCAAGTGTTTGATGTAATGCCTGCTAGGCATGTTTCGGCAGCATAGGGCAGGTTGCGTCGAGAGCGCTTGAAGAATTCTCTTGATAACACTCATCAGATTGTTTCAGCATACGTCGCTATTTGTTGACAAGTGTGCAGCATTCGGCTGTCGACAACAAGCTCACCAAATGTTCTAGGAAATGCCTCAGTGTATAACTGAATTTTTTTTGCGTGCTTCGCCCTCTGTTTCTATTTAAAACTTAGACTTTTAACACTAGGACCCCCAGTGTTTGAATTCTCTTGGAGTTAGAGGCTGCAGATAAATTGTTCCCATTATCGTGGAAAAGTTTATAGCAATATAATTGCCTGATTGTGGCTACGTTTTTTGCACTTTATGTTTCAAAGGCATCAGGAGTCAGGACCTTATATTGCAAGTTGTTGTGATGTTCCATTGCCAGGTTAGAGTAGACTTGACTGGAGACGACACACAAAAAGTTTTTGATAGGGTTTTGACAAATTTGGCACGCACAGCACCACCAGTTCCTGGATTTCGCAGACAAAAAGGAGGTAATAGTCCATTATTGTTCCCCTGCCACCGTTGGATTAATAGTAACCTACTTACCTGATGGCTCTGGTGCATGCTGATACTGCTGCAGGAGATAGATAAGAGAAAGTCTATCATATATTTTGAATCATTGTGGAAAGAAGCTCCAGAAATGGCTCTCCAATTTGGATGATGTCTTCTTTATATACATGCTTAGCAACTTCTGAAATTTTGAGTCCATAAGTTTTAACTATAAATTATCCTTTTCATGTGCTTTGGGACTAGTGCAGGAAAAACATCCAAGGTTGGTTGGCTTTATTCCTGATAACAGCTTAATGTTGAATTTCATCAGTTGGTTTCATTTGCAATTAAGCTAATTGTTCTTTGATGGCTAACTTAAAACTTTTCTGAGCAGGTCCCGAAAAGCTTTCTGTTGGATATACTTGGTAAGGAGCGTGTCACCAAGTTTGTCATACAAGAAATAATAAACTCTACTATGGCTGATTATGTAAACAAGGCAAGTCACCCACTTTCACTGCGTGCGTCTCTTTCTTATCGTATAATTCTCTGTCGCCAGCCAACCCGCCCAACATTGTCAAATCTCTGTTTGGTTTCAGGAAAACTTGACTGTGAAGGAAAACAAAGTCAGCACCACTCAAACAGCTGAGGAGCTCAAACTGTTGTTCACTCCAGGAAATGAATTTGGATTCAATGCTACACTCGAGCTCGAAACTTCAGAATTGGAGACGCCAAGCTGAATCTCGTGAGGGATGGTTATTGGTTAAACTTGCTACTTTCTAATTATTTCAAAGTGTTTAATCATGATATCTTTTTGTTTTTTTGGACAATATCATGATATCTTTTTTGTAAATGGTTATGGTATCATCCTCTAGTGATAATCCACGAAAGAAGAGGAAAGGAATGCCTCCTCGTCCTCGTCCCTTCACAAATAGAAATATTTGGATGCTGACATGTTTACTTTAGCTGTTTTTTTTTGGGAATCTGTTGGAGCGATATTATTTTAAACTGTAACACAAAAAACATTACACAACTAAACAGTGTCGGAATTGAAATTGTATTCGGACCAGGAAAACTGAAAAACTGCTGGTGGTTGATATGAAATGATATCATCTGTTCTTAACATGTATAATCCATCAATTATGGATGTTAAAAGTACAACATTTTCAGTAAACATGCGTTGCGTGCAGCCATTTTCTTACTAATATGCAAGGCTAAAGAAACTAATATAAAACCTGGTGCCAGAATGATTGTAGCCCTCACCAGTCACCACCACAAATACCACCTAATATGAACAGGTTGGTGATCCTCGGCGAAAGTCCATTAAAACCAGAGTAGCAGCGCTATGTGTAAGTGCGCCTAGCACAACAAAGATGTGGAAGATCTGATGACTGTGCCCTACAATATCAAACTTACCGGGCTTCCACCGTTCTGGTATTCTAGCGACATAGAATGCTGCTCCCGAAGCATATAAGATGGCCATAACAAGTTCATAAGCCAAAGCAACAATTATATGTTGATTGCCCCAATGGATAACTAGGGCATGAAGCGCAGGAATGACTCCGGAGAAGCCCATAGAGAGGAAAAGGGTAGCCCTAAATGGGCGGAAACGGGGTCTAGAGAGACTAGGCGAAAGAAGGGTAACAATGACGAGGATCCCGAGCAGAGATATGGAAGAAAGGTAGAAAAAGCAAGAGCAAGGGTTGCAGGAGAAGACATAGTAAATGGGAGCAAAAAAAGAAGAGACGATCATAAGAGAGATGCCGACGTAGTCTAGGCGCCAGAAAAAAAAATTGAAGCGTTTAGAGTGACAAGCAAGGAGGTGGGAAAGGGAACTGCAGACCAAGCATCCCATAGCTCCACCTAGGAACACAAACCACGGCCACATTGTAAGCGGATTAATACCATCGTAACCAACTTCTTGGTTTGCATTCGCTTTCGCATGAATGATTGATGATGCATGTCCCTTTAAGTCCTGCCTCCAACAATAAAACCATACATATAATTAAGGACATGCTTGAAAATATTTTTAAATAACTTAAAGTGCTTTAAGAAAGCACTAATAATGAATTTAACCTTGTCAATTTAACTTCTTTTTGTCTAATATTCTAGTTACCCAAAGGGCAATCTATGGGGCCTATCTTTATTTTTAATTTGTTACAAAATATGATTAATTAGAAAAGCAATAATAATGATTTTAAAATACAACAATACAATAATTCTAAACCAGTCCACTTTAGGTTATTTCGCTATTTACCACTTTACTCGGCTAATACTATTGTATTTGCATGCACTCTAATATGTAGTACTTCTCTCCATAAATAAGTAAGAGGTTTGAATTTGAATCACATAAATAACAAATTTTATTCCTTATTATTATGTCTACCTTCACTTAGACCAAATTTCCACTTTTGCTATAGAATATCATTATTTAAAAAAAAAAAAAAACAACAGAGTATTTATATGCACATAATTATATCAGAAAATGATTTCCAAACACTTATTTTATTGTTCTCCACATTCTTATTTATGTTTATTTATTCAATAAGGAAGTAGAAATAAATGGAAGTGTATAGAAATAAATAAGAAAGTAGAAATATACAATGAGTTTTGTATATTTTTTTTAGTATAACCAATTTGCTTACATTTTACTATAATGATTTTGTATCATTTTGTTACTTTTAGCTATATGTAGAATCAGTTTTATATATTTTATTAGTAGAATCAGGTTGTATCATTTATTACTTCTAAATATTTGCAAAATCAATTTTGTATACTGTATTAATAGAATTAGCTTGTACACTTTCAAAGAATATCTTGTGAAAGAAAAAAAGTTTAACTATTTACATAATCAGTTTAATTATACACGTGGAATTAGTTTAACTATATACGTGGAATCAGTTTTATATATTTAATTAGTAAAATACATTTGTATACTTTCAGAAAATACTCAAACCAAAAACCAAAAACTTGAAATCACAATCGTTCTTCAAATAAAAAAAATCATAAATTTACGGAATAGGAAGAACAATAGGAGGAGAGAGAGAGAGAAGTACGAAGGAGAAGAGCCAGAAAGAAAGCGATACGAAGGAGCAGGAGTAAGGGAGAGAGAACAGAAACGTACGAAGGAGGAGAGAGAAAATAAGTTACGCAAGAGAAATGAGAGGAAAGAAGAATGGAAGGAAAAGAGAGAAAGAGAGACGAATCATCTTTAATATGTTATAAGAATAAAATTGTAAATGAAAAAAATAATAATAATAATAATAATACATCACATGCCACGAGAATAAGTTTGGTGCTCAAAGTTGGCAGGCAACACAAGACAAGCAAACGGGACAGACGTTGTGAGACCCACACCCCGCGTCGGATTCTTTATAATTGACTGATTCTAATTCCATGACCGCGTGGAGGTGGAAGGACTAAAATTAAAAGGCAGATTTTCTGTCCTCCTATTACAATGGATTTTTCATTTCTTTTTTATATTGTGTGGTTTAAATTACGTCAATATTTTATATTGATTTTTTATAAAAATAATAAGACAAATTGACGTGGTTTAACCGTATGAGAAGATGGGAAGGACATGGTAAAACGAGGGCAGACAATCTGCCTAAATTATTCCCAACTCGTAAAAAAATTAAAAAAGAAAAGAGTGACTGACCGGCGAACGAGGAAGAAATGCATCCACATTGTGAGAGGAGGAAGAGGAGGAGGAGACATTGATCAACGGTCCAGGAACCGCCACAGCCCTGCTAACGTCGCCGGCCGGCATATTTACCCACCAAACAGAAAGCAGCAACAGTGAGTGAGTTGTTGTTGTTGTTGTAATTACAAAAATGCCCGTGAAGTGAGCAATGGTTACCTGGAGAAAATGTGCAGCTCCAATAGTGAGTTGTTGGTCAAGGTCATGACCGTCAGTCCTACAAATATCAAAAACCCCACCAAGTGGCTGCAGCACAAGTAATTATAAGTAGGCCAGATGTTAGAGGTAGTTAGGCAGAGTTAAGCAAGTAAATGAGTTAATTAAATAAAGAATGGAGGGAAATGAATCAAGGCAGGGAATGAGCGTAGCGTACGTCCAGATGTTGAGGGTTTCGTTGTGGCAGGCAAAGACGCTGAACAAGAGATCCTTCAGGGGCCACTCGCATCTGTAATAATCCAATATGTACTCGTTGTCCTTCATGTATGGCGGAAGCTCCTCGAACTTCCTCAACGCCATCGTCTTGGTCGTCTTCTTCTTCCTGCTACTAGTATTACTGGTACTAGTACCCCACCATTCCATTCGCTTCCTGTGATTGCACATGATCTCTCTTTCTCTCTCTCTCTTTCTCCACTCTCTTGTTTTCTTTGTTTCCTTTTCTTCTTCCAATTTCTGGTCTGGTCCCTCTCTCTCTTTCTCCTCTTTGATTTACATTTAAAGGGAAGTAAGTGGGTGGGCTGCTTTCTTGCGTGCCAGTTGCCTGGTTAGACTTTGAATTCAAACTACATCGAAGTCAAGGGAATTGAGCTAGCTTTAAGCTCTAGGCTGTACGTAGCCACACGTTCTGTATTGGAATATTACCAGGGACTTAGGCATCTCCAACCGAAGAGTCCAGAGGGTCAAAGGGTCGAAAATAGTCTGAAAACTGTCTCCAACCGAGTGCCAGGCTAGAGAGCTCGTGGGCCCCATGGAATCTGAAAGGGCCAAAGGGCTAGCCACATGCAATCAGCCCCGGGTTGGCTGGAATTTTTTTACTGGTGTCGGTTTTGCTGTCGGTTATAACCGACAACAATGCTTCTAATAGTGTCGATTCTATCCGACAAAAATTTGAATCCATAGCTGATGTCAGCTAGCTAGCGCCAGTTACCATTGGATTCAATTTTTTTTTTTTTGGACCTTTTTTTTTTTTTTTTGTTAATTCTTAAAAATTCTAAATTTTTTTCTTATAAATACCTAAATCATTCATTCACCATTCCTCACAAATTTTTCACCATTTCAATTCTCATATTTTCTTACCTCTTTAAAAAATATTTCCTTCAATTATTTAAATGATTTTCAAATGGCCTCGTCTGCAATAAAAGGTAGGGTTTGGACTCGAAAAGAAGATGAAGCTCTTTGCAAGGCTTATAGATGGGTGTCGTAAGATAGTGTGAGGGGAAGTTCTCAAACAAGTGAAGGTGTTTGGACTCGTGTGTCCAAAAAATACTTAGAGTTCTACGAAGACACCACTCCACTGAATGTTCGAAACCACGAGAGTTGTTTTTCAAGATGGAAGAAACATCTTCACCCAAGTTTGAACAAATGGCATCAAGCACTGTTAATAGCCGCAAGTAGACATGAAAGCGGCACTAATTACTACGACGAAATAAGTGTTTTCAAAATTTATTTTAAATATTTAATTATATTACATTTAATTTCTTGAATTACTTTCCTTTAATTTTTGTAAATACATTTAATTTCATAAATTAATTTCCTTTAATTTTTGTAATTATATTTTCTAGGTACGCCAAGTGGAGGAATTGTATATGGAGGGCAGTTCAAAACCCTTTCAGTTTCACAGTTGTTGGGAAACTTGTAAAGGGTGGGTGTTATTTGAAGATCCACCTCAACATAGAGGAGGTCATACACTGGTGTTCGGAACTGCATCCTCAACTGCTGATATGGATGAAGATGGATCTCCTACCATTCAACAAACAAGGGTAGAAAATCCGTCTTCGGTTGAAGGTTCCATACCTAAGGCTATGGAACGAAACAAGGCACGAAGGTTGAAGGAAAAGGGCAAGGCAAATGATGATTATGCAGCTCAACACGAAGTGGTGGCCTCATTGCGCTTAATAGCGGAGCAAACTGCCCTTGAGGCAGAAGAAAGGAACCATATGCATGAATTACGGGCCAAACAAATATAAGAAGAGATGGATGATAAGAATATGGAAAGGAACACTTCGAATTACACTCCAATGAGTAAGGCCTATTTTGATAGGAAAAAAAAAGAATAAATTATGACCCGATGACAGTTGTTTACCTCTGACTATAATCCTACAACGGCTGATGAAGATGATGTTGATTATGGATATTAAATTTAAGTTGTTGTAGTTTTTAAATTTAAGTTAATGTTGTTTTCAAATTTAATTTGTAGTTTTTAAATTTAATTTGTCGTTTTTAAATTTAAGTTGTAATTTTTAAATATAAGTTGTAGTTTTAAAATTAAAATAATAAATTATGTTTGGCCCTATGACCCTCAGTTGGAGATGGAAGCAAATATGACCCTGTACTGTTTATTAAAATATTAATTTTTTGGAGGATCAGAGGCCTAAAATGAGCCCTCTGGCCAACCCTCAGTTGGAGATGGCCTTACAAGCCTTGTCCAAGCCAAGAGGCAATGCATTTACAAAGAGGGCAGGGCAGGGCAAGAGAGCAAAACATGTCTAAAGCATAAAGTCTCATTCAATATATAATCCTTGTTTTAACATTCATCCATTTAAAACAGTACACATCAATCTCAATTCCCTAGGGATTGCAGAGGCAATCGAATCAATGGTGTTCACCAGTAGTTGGACAACTTACTTGCTACAAAAGGTTCTCTCCTAAATCAGAAAAATTCACAAACTACATTGCTGAGAGTGAGAATGCAGTAATCTACCTGTACAATGCGACAGGCTGGCCTAAAAGCCGAGGATATTGCTTTTCCATGTTGGCACATTTGCTATGAGCAATAGCCATTTGGTATGTCCTCATGAAAATGGCTAATTTATCGAAACCCGTTACCAATAATCTCCGCAAGAACACACCCCATCACTGAAACAGTGGAACCTGTTATTATCCCTCAAAATAATTTTCCTTCCCTCCAACTTAGATATCATCTTGATAGCTGTGTGGCAATCCCAGCACACCCTCAGATTCTTCACTACCCTGATCACTGCCTCTGCATCAGTAACAAGAAGAGCGAAACAAACTGCCAATTTTTCACTATGGGTACCCACCATCTCTTCTTTCTCTTCCTCCTCAACATCTCTTAGCACACAGGTCTTATCAGCCATGTACCCAGCATTTCTCATTTTCCTCCCTAATTCTGCCAATAGCCTATAAATGTCTTCCGACCGCTCATGTGATCTGTCTCCCACAATGAACTTGTGCATCTTGCCTTTGTATTCAACCCAACTCCACCCCGTTGCTTTCTTCACGCCTATTTTTCTCATTGATTCTCTAACTCTCACAACATCATCCCACCTACCTGCTGAGGCGTATATGTTTGAAAGTAAAATGTAATTCCCTGAATTATGTGGTTCAAGCTCAAACAGCTTGCTTGCAGCAAACTCTCCAAGATCAATTCTTTTGTGGATTCGGCTAGCATTTAAAAGAGACCCATAAACTCCAGCATGCGGTTCCTTCAGCATGCCATCGATTATTTCTTTCGCTTCATCTAGTTTACCCACTCGACCTAACAAATCAACCACACATGCATAATGATGTACATCAGGAGCTTTGATTGACTCAAAAACCTTCCATCCTTCTTCTAACAACCCTGCATGGCTACATGCTGTAAGAATACCAATATATGTTACACGGTCTGGTTCAATAAACTCTCCCTTCATCTTCAACAGTAGTTTGACGGCTTCCATCCCATGACCATGAGCTGCAAACCCTGCAATCAATGTGTTGTAGGAAACCACGTCTCTTGTTTTCATTTCTCGGAATGTCATCTTGGCATCTTCCATGCTTCCACATTTAGAGTACAAGAATATCAAGGAATTATATCCTGATACACTTAGCTTGATATGGTGTTTCCTGACAATATTGATGACCCAATTACCGATGTCTAAGGCCCCAAGATGTCCACATGCTGAGATGACACTCACCATAGTTACCTCATCTGGTTTGAGACCATCAGCAGCATTAATCATATCTTTAAAGAGATCAATTGCAAGAGCGGACTGCCCATTTTGAGCATAACCAGAAATCATCGAGTTCCACGAGACAACGTCCTTTTGTGGCATCTTATCAAAGAGCTCTCTAGCAGAATCCAAATCCCCGACCCTTGTATATGCTGATATCATGGCATTCCAGGTAATGGTGTTCCTATACGCCCCCAATTCATCAAAAATTTGTCTAGCAGTCTGGAGGCTCCCACACTTTGCATACATATCAAGCAACGCCGTCTTGGAAAAATAGCTTAAATGGATCTGCTTTTGGTTGAGCTTTTGAACAAACGAATCAGCAAGGGAACAATCACCGCATGACGAAGATGATGAAATGACAATTGCCCAAGTAGTTTCATTTGGTTGATCTCCGGAGTTCATCATGTCATCAAACAATCTTAAAGCCTCTTCAGGACATCCATTCTGAGCATAAGCCGAGAGCATTGCATTCCAGGATACAACATTCTTCTGCGGAATTTGATCAAAATACCTCCTTGCGTTCTCCAAATCCTTGATCCTAGCATATCCAGTAACCATGGAAGTCCAAGTAACAACGTTCCTTTCGGGCATCATATCGAAGAGTTTGCAGGCATCATCTTTATTCCCCCACTTCCAGTAGCCAAAAATCATATTATTCCAGTCCGCAAGAGTTGAGTCATGCATTTCACCAAACAGATATCGGGCGTGCTCAACTGGGCCGTATTTAGCATAGAAGGCTAGGATGGCATTGCGCACGTAGTGATCAGAAGCAAGACCTAACTTGCGAACATGGGCATGGAACTGAATGCCGGCACTGCTGGCTGACTTGATCAACACCGGGTAGACGAAGGTGCCGATGGTTAAGTCAGAGCGCTGCTGCATTTGTCGATAGAGAGAAGCAACTTGATCAAAGCCTCCTAAGTTGAAATTGGAATTGGAGTAGTACTTGAACATGGAGGTGAAGACGTGGACGTTGGGGCGAGGCGTGGAGTGGAAGATGAGGCGGGTATAGGAGGGCGGGGCACGGAGGCGCGTGCATTGGGAGATGAGGAGTGAAACCCACTGGCACTGGGTGTGATGGTGGAGGGAAAGGTTAATGAGGAGGCGGGCATGAAGCTGCCTGAGCTGGCTCAAATTGCAGAGTTTGTATGCTAAACTCTCTAACTCTGCCAATGACATACTGTTACTGACATACACGCCCAATCCAATTTCCAAACATATAATTCGAATATAAGTTAAGTTGGACTGTCACTAGAGAAGCAGGAGCTGCAGGAATCACACTCACATGGGAGTTTTGCACCACCTCTGCACTGCACCGACTAGACCACTGACCATCAATATATTATGGTGCCTAATTTGATGGATATGCTTATATGTGATAATAATAATTTAGTTCAAATTTGTTTTTAACAAAAATCGAATTTAAGATCTATCACTTATAAGTTAAGAAAAATATCATTAAATTGTACTACGAAACAACAATAATTAATGAGTTAACACACCAAATCTTTTTATTAATATTCTTAAGATTTTATGTATATGATATGTCCATGTAACATATATTTATGTTTAAGGATTGTTGATATTTGGATGGGTCGGCTTCAAATCAAATTAATATTACTTCAAGCCAACCCACTTGTTGAATTGGCGATTAGGTTTCTACCCAATTTTATTTTTTTTTATTTTTTATTTTTTTAATTTTTTTTTTACAACCCAATGAATTTCGGTTGGGTAATGGCCATTACAAAATTCATAATTTTTTTTTAAGTATATTGATATTTTTTACATTAAGAGAAGGAAGAGTTCAGCTAAGTCACATAAAAGGTAGCCTAAGTTAGTATCGAATTTGTCATTCACGGGATTCGAAACTAATACCTCTCATTTCTAAGTGAAGAAAAATATCACCAAACCGTAGTACTGAGTGGCTACAAAATTCATAATTTGAGTAACATGAAAATGTAAGATTTGTGCAAAGAAGTTTCTTAATTTGGATATGGTAGTGAATTGTGAAAGATCTTTCAACTTAAAAAAGAAAGAACTGACCTTGTAACTATTTATTATTATTTTTTTTAAAGATGGATTTATCAACAATGATAAAATATATGCATGTAAATAGAAAGTGAACGTTATAAAAATTTATAATTTGAGTATCGTCGCTCGTATTTTTTTTTTATTAAGATGACGTGTTAAAGTAAGAAATACATAGATCTCATGCAAGAGTAATGGAAAATGCAAGATTTGTGCAAAGAAGTTTCTCGATATGAATATGGTATAGAATTGTGTAAGATCTTTGAACTTAAAGAAAGAAAAAAACCCGACCGCGTAATCTGTGGACAAGACAACACCTACGGAAATGTTTTTGTGGAATGCAAAACAACATAACGGAGAGGTACAGGAGAAGAGCATCCGTGTTTGGGGGGAGTTTTCTAATTTTCATTTTATTTTTCCGTTTAGATATTATTAATTAATAATTTGATACGAGAAGTTGAGAGACAAAGACATAAGTAGAAGAGCCTCCTCACCCCACGCTTCACGGCTTACACAGAGACTGTCACTTGTGTTGCGCCACACATGATTTTTCATTTTTTAATTTTTTTAATTTTCTGGTTTGGAGATTCAAGATTTCAATTATTTCATTTTGAGGCGCCAAGTAAACCCTAATAAAACACAAACAAAAACACAGAAAGAAAGAAACTGTTTGATGCATTGAGAGAGAGAGAGGCAGTAGAGGAGAGGAGAGTAGAGGAGAGCTATTTATTGTATTATTTACAAAATTGCATTCCTTGAAGATTGAGTGTTGAATGAAATAAATCTGTCAGATCTGAACCAGTCATTCATTCTTCCTTCTTCTCTTAAACAGATCTGCACCTCCAGTTCCTCCACCCTTGTGCAAATCCCCATTTTCTTCACCTCTCTACCACCGCCGCCCCAACGTTCTGCAATTCCCCAACACCCCAATCACCTTTCCACTACCACCCTTCTGGACTTTCGGAGGGTCTTTATAGCCGTTTTTCCCGGCCTCCGGAGGGTAAATGAAGCTTCTTTGTGCTCTGTAAGATTGGGATGTGGGTTTCTTCTTCTTGCTTCTGAGTGATCATGTCAAATGCTTTTCTTTTCATTTTCAACTTAAAATCAAAGCCTTTTACTTCAAATTGAATTCGATTCATTCATATATATATATATATACATACATATATGTGTATATCTATATCTATATATGAAAATGTCGTCATCAGCAACAGCAGCAGCAGTGGGGGTCTCTGATCCAAGCCAACTTCACTTGAAGAGGGAGCTCACTCAGATTCGAAAAGCCGCCCGCGTTCTTCGTGATCCTGGCACCACTTCCTCCTGGCGCTCTCCGCTCGCCTCCTCCTCCTCTAGATCTGCGGCCGTGGCGGCAGCTGCCCAAGCAGCTATCACTACTGCTAAAACAACTACTACTTCCACTTGGAACAACAACAACAACATTGGGAATAATAGAAATGGCAGCGACAGGAGGGTCTTCTTGCACAACTGGAAGAACTCCAAATCCTCCTCCAGAAACGATGACTACAACGACGATGAAGATGACGATGAAGATTACAATGATGATGATGGCATTTACGTTATTGAAGATGGCATTGATGCTTCTTCTTCAGTTGCGGACTTGAGTGTTGATGATAGCTTGAGTGATGCGCGTACTGGAAGAGGAGGAGGAGGAGATGGAGGAGATTCGAGGAGTGACACTCAGACTCACAGCCGCTCCTCATCCACCATGCTCCGGCGTAGATATGCACACCTTTTGCCTCCTCGCAAAAACACTAACAAAACAAGTAAGAACACCGATGCCCACTCCGACCTTTTATCCAAATATCAGAAGAAAGAGTTATTTCTTGGTAGGAACAGAAAACTAGTAGTGGACGGTCACCCAAGATCATCCGCCCGCCGTGACTTGGTCGACCAATCTGAAGACACCGAAGACTACTGCAACTCGGAGGATCTTAGGCCAATTTCAGGGGCTTCCCCATTATTGCTATCCAAACTTAAGCACAAGAATTGGCCTCACTCCTCCTCTAAGTTTAGGAGAGATAATAGTATTCCAAGAGAGGACTCTTCCTATTCTTATAGCACCCCTGCATTGTCAACTAGTTCTTATAACAGGTACGCTGGTGTTCGCAATCCTAGCACTGTTGGATCTTGGGATGGCACTACAACTTCCATGAATGATGGGGATGATGAGGTTGATGACCACTTGGAATTTCCCGGCCGCCAGGGATGTGGGATTCCTTGTTATTGGTCGAAAAGGACACCCAAACACAAAGGCATGTATGGAAGCTGCTGCTCCCCATCGCTTTCTGATACTTTGAGGAGGAAAGGAAGTATCATATTTTGTGGAAGTCAAAATATTTACCCTAGACAACGTCGATCATCATCAGGTTCCAATAAGCAGAGAATTGCATCTAGAAGTGCTCAGGGCGTCCTTCCATTGCTTACCAATAGTGGTGATGGTAGGGGAGGTTCATCCATAGGAACTGGGAGAAGTGATGACGAGCTTTCCACAAACTTTGGGGAACTTGATTTGGAGGCTCTGAGTCGATTAGATGGAAGGAGGTGGTCGTCAAGCTGCCGAAGTCAAGAAGGGTTGGAGATTGTAGCTGTGAATGGAGATGGAGAAGAGGAAGGCTCACCAGAAAATATTAGGAGTTTTAGCCAGAAGTACAAGCCAATGTTCTTTGGTGAGTTGATTGGGCAAAATATTGTGGTGCAATCACTCATAAATGCTATTGCAAGGGGTCGGATTGCCCCTGTTTATCTTTTCCAGGGGCCCCGCGGAACTGGAAAAACATCAGCAGCCAGGATTTTCACTGCTTCTTTGAATTGCCTATCTCCTGATGAAAATAAGCCATGTGGCTTTTGCAGGGAGTGCTCTGATTTTATGTCCGGTAAGAACAAGGATCTAATGGAAGTTGATGGCACCAATAAGAAAGGAATTGACAAGGTTAGGTACCTATTGAAAACTCTATCAGCAGCACCCCCATCAGCATCCTCGAGGTACAAGGTTTTTGTGATTGATGAGTGTCACTTGTTACCTTCTAAGACGTGGCTGGCATTTCTCAAATATCTAGAAGAACCGCCACAGAGAGTTGTCTTCATATTTATAACAACTGATTTGGACAATGTTCCCCGTACGATACAATCTCGGTGTCAGAAATACCTCTTTAACAAAATTAAAGAGAGTGACATTGTGGCCAGGTTAAGGAAAATATCTGTTGAAGAAAACCTGGATGTTGAATCAGATGCACTAGAATTAATTGCTTTGAATGCAGATGGTTCACTTCGCGATGCTGAAACTATGCTGGATCAGTTGAGTTTGCTGGGGAAAAGAATTTCAACATCCCTCGTGAATGAACTTGTGAGTTTGCTCAACAAATGGCTTCTTGACATGGTCTACTTCAATTTACGTTCACCATGCTAATAGCGATTTATCTTGCTTATTAAAAGAAGATAAAAGATGGATAGCTACTGGCAATATCCAAATAGCTGAATTTACTGTTTACAAACTTAAATTCAACTTTTCTAAAATTCATTAATCTAGTGCTTTGTGTTCTACAGGTGGGAGTTGTTTCTGATGAAAAGCTACTGGAACTTTTGGAATTAGCAATGTCATCAGACACTGCAGAAACAGTGAAAAGGGCCAGAGAGTTGATGGACTCCGGGGTAGATCCCATGGTTTTGATGTCTCAGTTGGCCAGCCTAATCATGGACATCATTGCTGGAACCTACAATATCAATGATATCAAACATGATTCATTCTTTGGTGACCGCAATTGTGAGTGCATCCCCTTAGTTTTCAACGCCTATAAAGTTGTTTGTACCATTGAACCAGTTGGAGTGTGATGTGGAAATAGTACCACAGTTAGCTAGATAACACAAATTAGGTCTGCTTGTCCACCCTTTCTGTATTTTCTGGTTTTTTCTTCTTCATGACAATCGTTTCTTTATAAAAACTAAAATAAAAATGGATTCAAGCAACACACATCTTCCCTATATGTGGTTGGTGCCATGATCTATCTGTTTTTCTTAAAATACATTTAAGGATTGATTGGATGGCCATCTCCTCACCATAACCAAGTTTTTCGTAGATGTATGGTGCTGTTAGTGCATGTCCAGATGGTGTTTCATCCATAGGAACACTTTAAGTTCTCTTGAAGTTTTATTTTGAAACATTCTGATCTATGTAGACTAATACTAGCTAGTATACTTTATAGAAAACAGTAACTTTATCAATCCTGGTGACACATAAAAAATCTCCACTGACCGTTTATTATTTTGAATGAATTGTTGTTGCGTTATATTAAACTGTATATTTTGTACAGTAAACTCTTGTTTATGTTTAATTTTAGTTATTCTAATTATGGTTGGCTTCCATACTTCAGTGGCCGAAGCAGAACTGGAGAGACTAAAACATGCTTTGAAGATTCTTTCAGAGGCTGAAAAACAGCTTAGGGTTTCAAGTGAGCGCTCAACATGGTTTACAGCGACTCTATTACAGCTTGGTTCAGTGCCTTCTCCAGACCTTACTCGCTCATGCAGCAGGAGGCACAGCAGTAAGACTACTGAGGATGATTCGTCCAGTGCTTCAAGAGAAGCTGCCACCTACAAACAGAAGTCGAATGCCCAATACATGCTTCATAAATCAATTTCCCATGCTTCTGTTCAAAAAGCACTAAATGGAAATTCCAACCATCAGGGAGATTCATTGTCGCGAAATAACAATGCCAAGCCCTTGCATGGCCATTTCACGGACAGTGGTGCCTCAACTCCCTTGCATGATGATGTTACAACTGGAAATGCAATCCTCAGATGTGCTAACTCGGAGAAGTTGGAGGATGTCTGGGCACAGTGTATTGAGAGATGCCATTCAAAGACATTGAGGCAACTACTACACTCTCACGGAAAGCTAGTGTCTATATCTGAAGCTGAAGGTAATCTCTTAATCTCTTTATACACTTCATTCATCTTTGCTTTTTAAAATACAATGCACTAAATGATATGGACATTTCTATAGAAGTTTCTGCAGTGATTTTGTGTCAATTGGGGAAACTGTGCGTATGCATAATGCAGAGATGTTGGTTGTGGTGTCTAAATAGCATTCTTGTGGAACTGGTGGTTATTTGTACATAATTTTACTGTGACACTGGTGTATTGCTTCGTGCTAGAGCAGGATGTACTTGTTTTATTTACATAAAAGGAAATGGGGGGAAGTGGTGGGGGAGGAAGAAGAATACAAGTCAGGTGGTCATACCATTTCACTTTCCCATAATTCCCATTCAGTTTGTTCACTGAAGTTCACAGTGAACAAACATAGGATCTCATGCTTGCACTTGATACAAGATACTGATGTGAAGCTGATTTCAGGTCCTAGTTTACGAGCTACACATATCAATTTTTGAGACCTGCCCCATATGATGAACTTATGGAGTGTATGCTGATTGTGCATGTTTCAGTTAAGATTGGTTGATGGAAAAACTACCGGTTTTGCCCCGAAATATCCCATTTTAATATATAGGTTTAAACTAATGGCAGAAATGTTAGGACAAAGGTGGGCTAGTTGACAATTAACTCTGAGCTTTGTTAATAACTAGGTGTTGGGGGAATATAAAAGAAAGAAAATAGTAGTCTGAGCATTACAAAAAGTATTATTTAATTGGCTAGGTTTTGATAGTTAAGCTCAACAAGTCCTTCACAACAAGAAGCCTTGCGTGTGCTTTCTCTATAAATGTATATGTTCTTTTCCCTTTCTTTCCTTGTTTAAATGGATTTTTTTGTTTTGTTCAGGTGTTCTGGTTGCTTATGTCACATTTGAAGATGGAAGTATCAAATCTAGGGTAGAAAGGTTTGTGAGCAGTATCACAAATTCGATGGAAGTGGTTCTCAGACGCAATGTAGAGGTTAGAATTGTTCACTTGCCAGGTGGAGAGGCTTCTCTAAATGGTCCAAGTCCAGTTCACTTACAAGGAACCGTGGCGGCAATTCTTAGGGAAAGGAAAAGAGTCGGATCAAATGCCACAGATGGTTACTCAAATTGCTCTTTGTTTCTTGATGAGACCCACAAGTCCACTTCTGATTCATCAGACGTGATCGCTGAAGGCAATGGCCAAGCAAGTGTTACAAGAGAGAGCAGACAGGAGATTCCAATGCAAAGGATAGAATCCATTATTCGTGACCAAAGGTTAGAGACTGCATGGCTACAGGTGGCAGAGAAAGGCACTCCTGGTTCTTTGAGTCATTTGAAACCTGAGAAGAATCAGGTCCTGCCGCAGGATGGCACTTATTACGAAGATCAGATGGAGTCATTGAATTCAATGAGGTTGTCCTCTCAGCATGGGGAAGATGGATTAAACCCTGAAGTCAAAATTTTGAAGGTTAATAGTGGAAGGGACGTCCTGAAGGACCCGTTAGGTAGAAGGGTTGACCGTTATCCTATGTCCCCAAGTTTACTACATGATAGTAACTTTGTGGGAAATTCCAACAAAGATAACCAGTGAGTATTTTACTTCTTATTACCGGAGTATTTTGATTAAGCTCTTTTCTGCTCCCTACTTGACTTAAAAAACCAATAGTTACAGATTTATGGTGAACAAAATATGCTGCTTGAATTTAGTGAAAGCTTAGCTTGCATCCGCATTGATAAATATTCTAAGATATAAGTACTACATATTCTGGTGATCATAGAACAATGCATGTTCAAGTGATCATGGAACACTGTTAGTAGCTACTGATGTCATAATAATTTAGGATACAGGCGTTAAATTAGCTTAAACTGCAGACGCTGGCTTTTACATTGTTATATGGAATTTCCATTAGGAAGAAATGGCACACATTGAATTGACTGAATGCTAAAATTCTTCCTTGGGCACCAAATTGGATTAGAAAACAGAATCTCACTTTGATGCTCTATTTTCATTCAGTCAACAGGGGAACTGCAATTTCAATGGATATCACTTTTGTTGCTCTTCTATATATTTTAATTGTCTTTTTAATTGGCCTATTGAAATGCATTATTTCATGTAGTGGTATTCTTTTCTTTTGTTCAAATTTTGATGTCTGCATTTATATATAATGTATACCACACTCTCATTCTTGGTATTTGTTTAGGGGTGATGAATCGGGATCTGGTAAAGGAGGAGGTTGTAGTGGTTTTTTCCATTGTTATAAGACCAAACCTCGTAAAAGAGGAAAGGTAGGCTGTTATTACAACTTTCTTTAGATATTTGTAATTTGATTATGGAAAACCTGTTTGACCTGAAAAGAACCTCACTGCATATTTGTCTATGTAAACAGGTAAAGGGGGGGACGGCTGTTCAGGCACGCAAGGGCAGACGGTTTTTATTGTTTGGGGAGTGTGGGAAGAAGTCTAGGAAAACAGAGAGCAAACATAATACAAGGTGAAAATGAGATTTGTAGTTGGACGTCGGGAGTGGTGGCTGCGCAGCTGCTCATTTGGCTGGTTACATAATTTTTTCCTCGTGTAATTTCTGTGCTCCAGTAGTGCTTGAGCGAGGCATTCTTCTGAGAGGATGTGAGAGAGAGAAGTAAAACAGATGATGTAAAGGTTTGCGGTTATCCATCTCCATTCAATTTTCATGTGGTCTGAATACAAATAAAAATGGTAAAACCTTGAATTGGTATCACTCATGTTAACTGATTTTCTAGCCTTGATGAGCTCAGGTAGGTTTTCCGAGATTCTTCAGGCTCATTGCTTTTGCGTCTGAATGTTGTGCTTGGGATGGTGCAAGTAAACCTTCAGATATGATGGTTTCATCTTAAACATGTAAATCCCGACAGCCGTTCATTCAAAAATGTATTGGATACGTTATTGGAATTTCATTTTATTAACTTGGCCTTCATTGTAACAACATGGCTGCGAAATCTTGCTCAATTGATTCACGTTCCCTGTGATGTATGATGTATCCATGGATCAGTGTTTGCGGTCCTTGTTAAAATACATATTAGGTTAGCTTTTTAGTTGAAGTGGTCTATGAGATTAGCCTAACTCTTTACCTTAGTTTTTGATATTTAAAATCGATAGAGCTGTTCCCAAGTTTGTTCATCGACAATTATTTTGGTTATTTTGTGAAAAATCTTTGTTAAATGAGAATCAAAATGACAAAAATTAAGAATATTTTTATCATTTTCTACTTATCTAACAGAGATTTTTCATGAAATGATTAAAATAATTGATGGTGGATAAAATAATTGTCAAATATTTTATTTTTTGTAACCAAAAACTATTTAGTTATTTTTATTATGTTTGGTGAGGACTTTTATTTTTTTTTTATATTAGTAATAATTTACTCTAAATTAATCTCAAACAAAAAGAGATTCAATCTCTGGTGCAGAGGTCCCTTACCACACAGTTATTCTCAAGTTCAGTTTTGGTTTAATTACGAATGATATTCAACTTCTAATCAGGAATCACACACTCAAAAGCATGTTCAGGTGAAACATGACAAGCTCCTTAGCCTCCATTAATCACAGTATCTTCTCACAATTTCTACACAATTAATTTTAACTCATAAATATGATAATTTCTATTAGAACAACAAAACTACAAGCACTTGCACAAAATCACACCCCCTTTAATAAATTTTTTTGGATTTAAATGATTTTTCGGCTTTAGTTTCGCCTACACAAAGGAAAGAAGAACGAAAATACAAGCACTGGCACAAAATCAGCATACAGAGAGACGGCTATTCAGAAGAAGACTTTCCCGAGCTCATACTTAACATTCTTTCCGCGAGTAATAAATCATCCGGCGTTGTCACCTGCAAAACACCACCACATTGTTTGTAATTCAATGAATCACATCCTTTGATATTATGTGTTACGTTATAGAGACTGAATTTCCAAATACACTGAGAAACGTTTACGTCAGAGACTGGCACTGGACTGCTTAATATTGGTTTACAGTAAAGAATCAAGCTTCAGTTAGGATGTTTCACTACCTTGATGTTGGTATAAGATCCTTCGGTGATGTACACCGGATGCTGAAGGTGCTCCACAATAGACACGTCATCCGTCACTTCAAGGCCTTCCCTGTGGAAAGTACAATATGTTCAGAATTTGTATACCAAAAATATTTAAGATCAAACAACAGATATAATTACAATTACGAGCCCACATGAAAAAAGTAAACGATGGAGAAACCTAGAGATGACCAACAAAATATTATGTCTCACTCGTACATTTTCCATTCACTGGAAAATAGAAGAAAGTTGAAAATTGATGAAAGTTGAGGTTTCACCATCAAACCAATTCGCAATATGGGGAGTAGCTCAATCATTTATAAGCACATGCAGGTCCCTTCTTTCTCCTGATGTGGGATTGATTCTCTCAACAAAAATACATAACAAGAATCAGCCTCTCAAGGAAACACTCTGGTCTACTCAGTGCCTCAACATTTATCAACATGGACTCGTACAGTAGTTATGCATTATTTAACAATCAGTATACAACTAAATTGTGCAGCATGAGTTAGTTAGTGGTTAGTACCTATTGACAAGCTCAAAACCCTCTTTGAGTAACTGAGGTTTGATGACCTGTAAGAATTGATCGGCATTCAAAGTTAAAATGTCCTCAAATGATCAACTAAGAGATATAAGTTAAGCAGCAAACCTGGGGTGTCTGCATTTCCCAAAGTGTTCTCCTGTCAAGGGTTTTGACTACATAAGATTCACTGTTTGCCTGCATATAAAAATGGAAAAGAAAAATAAAGCACACGGATAAGCTTATCAAGTTTTGGATCAAACTAATCCATAGACGAAAGTACAAAAAAAAAAAAAAAAAAAAAAAAAAAAAATCCATTGACAAAAGTAGTTTCATGGATGGAAGTCTTGTTATTTGGACACTGGAGCATTGACAGGGTGAATTGCTAGTTGGTCTAGCAACGTGTGGTTAGACTGGAAAGCAACAATAAGACAAAAGGTTCTGCTACCCCCAATTAAGATTGCAATTCTATACATTTCCAATGTGCGCTTTCCGAATTTTAGACAATACTATTTCTGTGGTCATGAAGTAATGGCCATCCTAGAGTCAAGGAAGACAATTTCAAAGTCAAGTAATGGTGATCCACCACCGAAGAGTGGAACATCGTAACATTGTGAGAAAAGATGGGAACAGAAAACTACCACTATTTGAAAGAATCTTCTGTAAGTTCTATGTCATGTGTCAAGTGTGGAATTGAACTACTGAGTTAAACAAAGCATAATATCCTTCGATGCAACTAAACTACAGGAAAGTGTGAAAACTAGGAGCTTCAAGATACCTATTGAATGCGTTTCACTGAAAAGAAACCAAGGAGATACTAAACGGACACAACTTTAGCATCAATATTACTAAATTGAAGGTAGTACCTCTTTGATTGTAGCTTTTACTGGAACACCAAGTACAGCTGCACCATTTAAGCAACCATCTTTGAGAACCTAAAAGCATACAGTTCCAACTCTAATCATTCTTATAAATAGCTACTGGAAGTGTCCAACTTAAGAATACAAACAGATAAACAACCGTGCATAATTTAAATGTTTTACCCTATATATAAATGCCTAAATCTAGCAACTAGAACCCACATAAAAAATTCCCATTTCTTTTATTCTTCTTTATTTATTTTTGAAAGAGAGACCAACTATGACTGGACATATTGACACCAACAATCAGAATGTGTAAGGAAACAGCCAACTATGACGAACTATTTAGTTTCAGACACTGATGTATTTCAATAAGTAGCACTGCTCTAGACGAAACAATGTACTCTTGGACCGTGAAATGCATTTCTGGATTCCCGAATGCGACATATTTCATACACGTTCTTTTCCATATTGAACTCAATTGGTAGCATTGGTCTATAGTATACCTGCCTAAACCATAATCCAAAAGGAACGTATAAGAACATAGTACACTACCTAATGACGATGAGAGGTGTTCTATTAAGTACGTATTGTAAGAGACAATAAAAGCCGATGCACTAGATGTGGGCAGGGAAAGAAATCTGCATCTCAAACCTTCTCTACATCTCCTGATGATAACAGAGGTCTAGCAGAATCATGAATACAGACAAGCTCAGATGTCAAATCAATTGCCTGTCCACAAAGTTGTATACTATGATAAGCAGATTAGTTTATGCTTCCCAATAATCATTATATATCACATTTAAGAAAAACAAATAAAAAAAACGAAATCATCTGTAGATATCAATGAGATTTCAAATATCAATAAGAAGAAATCATTGACTTTTATCTCATTACCGGTCGGCTACAATGTGCAAGACGAGTACAAATATCTGTTCGCAAAAACGACGAACAAACTTCAAACTAAAAAAATTGAGAGTAGGTCAATGGCACTATCACTCCGGAGATTTGGTCCAATGGCACTATCACTCCAGAGAGTTTTGTTACATACAAGTATTTTTTTGGCTCGTCTTAAAGAAGAATTTCAAAACCTGAAAAAGTTAAATTCAGGCTTGGGGCTACCCATATTAATCTCACATTTCTAACACTGAGGCTTAGGGATTAAAGTGGATATTGTTGCAATCCTCATGAGAAGAAAACTTTCAACAAACTTCAAGGATTGGACCAAAGTTTCACCATAGAAGCATGGTCCCGGAAAAAACAATAGACAGCCTTCTCAGTTTCACATATCAAGTAGCTGATGCAACAGACATTGGGATAAAGCAGGTTTCAGATAAAGCAGAGCCAAGAGCTTTACAAAATAAAAGAGACTTCTTTATGATTAAGGAGACTTTTTTTTTTAATTCTTGATTTACAAAGGAAAAGAAAGAATCTCTGTGCACCTGGAGCCCATTGTAAACGGAATCTTGTCTTTCCTTCCCTGGTAGTGTGAATTTAAGTTCCTTCTGGATCTTAGGTTTGGCGTCTGAGAACAATACATGACCAACTAAATTAGTTCAAATGTCTCGTGCATCACTACACCCAGTATATAAAACATGTCCAAGCCAAGAGGTAATGTATTTACAAGGAGGGCAAGAGAGCAAGGATTAAACCTTCAAAAACATCCTTATAGGAGGGATCACAAACTACAATTATCTCCCTTACTTCAATCATTTGGGAGAAAGTGTAGAAGCTGCATGGAGTCAGAAATAACAATCAGACGAGCATACGATTTGTATCCCCCGGAAAAATAAGAGAGTAGAAAGTCGATTAATATTTCCCTGAGAGGTGAATAAAAAACCTACACGAGGGAGTCTGAAAAGAATTATTGCAACTAGAAGTATAGACACAAATAGGTCAGGTTTCAGTCACAACAAAGTAACTGTGTCTAGAAAGTTGAAACTGGCATCCAAAGTCTAAAGCACAAAGCTTCATTCATTTTATAATCCTTCTAAAGGTACAGCATGAAAGTACACGTTCGTCATTATAATCAACCAGATAAACATTCAGCTAATTCAGATTAGTAACGCATTGTAGTTGGTTTGGTAGGTCGTGTACAAAAATTAGAAAATTTCCCCAGGTGGGTTGGCTGAGAAAGTGTCAGTCAATTACCTGTATAATGCAATTGGCTGGCCTAAAAGGGGAAGATATTGCTTTGGCATGCTGGCCTAGTTGCACAAACATAAAGAAAAAAACATGATCGTCTGTTGGAATGGGAATGAACGAAAAAATCCATAGATGAAGGTGATGGGGATTCTATTCCATTCATATGCACTATGCAGGCAAATGCAGATGAAGAAGGAGAATGGTTGATGAAGAAAAATGGGGAATGTGACAGATGTGAGAAAATGGTATCCAAGAAGACTAACCCCCATCCTTTTGCCCTGCCCTCCAGCCAAAAGAATCACTGACACGCTCTTCTCTTTCACTATTAGTCTAGACTCTGGTTTCTGCATCATCAAAAAAAAAAA